CAATACCATCTACATATAATTATAAGCATTGGAAGGGACCTTGAAGATCATTTAGGAGTTGAATCTCCTAGAGTCCTCCCACGTTCTTCCTACAGCTGGAGAAGCACCAACTAGGCTTTAGATAGGGGTGGGGAGGACTCTGGGACCCTGTCAGAACCCTCACACCTCCTTCCCCCAACCAGCGCCTACCTTACCCGGCTATGGGAAGGCAGCGCAAGGGCTGGGGAATGGTGTCAAATGTTGCTGAGGGCTGCCAAGAAAGGCCTCGAGAGTTGCATATTGGACCACCCTGCTGTAATTGCTTAGACTGTTAGCTCCTTGGGGACAAAAGTAATAAACATGAGGCTTTGAAGAACTGATCTCCCTCTTCTCCTTTTCCTTCCACTCTCTTTCCCTGCTATGCTTTCTAGTTTGTAAGAGTCTCTCTGTGTTTGTGTGTATATGCATATATATGAATGATTTGAATTGCTTTAGGAGACAATAAATTCTATGAAAAGGAGAATAAAAATATAATAAAAACAAAAACAAAAACTGATGCCAGCTGCTCTCAGCCCACAGGATAGAGTATGACACAGCTAATCAAATAAATTGGAAATAAATAATAAAACTTGGTAGCTGGAGTTTATGGACTCCATTACAAGTGCTCAGGAGTTCTTAATGTAAAAGCAACTCTTCCCAGCCACAGGCTTATTGCGGGAACTTGCAAGGTGACCTTTTGAAAGGTTTTATGAGAATACAATTTAATGGAGCGTTGGCATTAGTGCCAGTCTGGGAATGTCAGCTGGCTGAACTGAGCTCTCTGAAACTTCCAGAAGACCGTCATCACTCTCTAGAACAGTCTACTGCTAGTTTAGAAAGTGGGTGCACACCCTTTTAAAGCAACTGTGTTTCTCATTTGGTAAACTTTCCTTGGTGTTGAGCACAGCAGGAGTTTGACTAGTACATGTACCGAAAAGATATACTGCTACACGTTTTATTGTCTATAATGAACACTATGGGCAGAGGGCCAAGCTCCAAACTTTGAGACAATCTTAGGGGTAGCATGTTTAAGTTCTGTGAAGCTTGGGGACACCTTCCGCATCAATATTTTCTATGAAGCTTTTGGCACAGTCCCCTCACCATCCTCTTTTACTGTCACTAAGAATAAGGGTCAGCCGTAGCTCAGTGGTAGGGCACATGCTTTGCATGCAGAACATCCCAGGTTGAGTCTGTGGTATCTCTAGGTAGGGATGGGAAGGACTCCTGCTTGAAGCCTTGGAGAGCCACTGCTGGTCTGTGTTGGTAATAGATGGACCAGTGGTGTGAGGAAGCTTCCTGCCTCAGACCAGATGCTATTCTAAAGGTGTATCTGAATTCTGTACATGGTCTTATTAAAAACACCCCAACCCCAAGCCAGCAGTTATGTGGTTCTGATCCAGATTGGGACCACTGAAAATTGTCACTTTCAAAGCTGCAGAGGGTGATTTTGAGTGTCTCTGTGTTCTGCCACCGTTGCTCCTCATCCCCAGCAGCAACTGTAGCTGCTTCACTCTGCCTAATGGTAGGGCTGGCCCTGTATGTCTTCTTTTGGTAAATTAAGCAATTTAAAAAGAGATGTGGAGAAAGTCAACCATTGATTCAAACACACAGTTAAAGTCATTGAACTAAATGCCTATTCTGCTTCCCCTTTTTACTTTCTATCCTCTTAGAGATGTGCAACAATTCTTTGTGTGCTGCTATTCTGTCCATTTAATCGAACATACTTCAATTATTTTTGTTGGTTGTTTATTCACTTCATCACTCACATTTGTGTTCTTTACCCCATTTTTAAAAATGCAATTTGGTGGTGGCAGCAGAACAGGTTTATGTGACTGTTTCTTGTGGCTGCATATTCTTTTCTAGATGAACTGGATGTTGCATTACTCTAGGCCATCCTGTTGAAAAAGGTGCCCATCACACAAAAAAGTTGCAAGCAGCTGCAGGGGCCATGTCCCTCCCCCTCAGAATGTGCTGGAATGATGTGACGTAAAGGATGCATTGGACAATGGTTGTTAAACTCAATTGAATGGCATCAAAGTTTGCCTCAAAATAGCACAATCTGGTTTACATTGCTAATTTAGAAAAACAAACCAGAATTGTATCCACTCACAGGCTGCTCTTTATCAGCATAACAGTTGTGGTTTATAAATTGCAGATTAGGTATTCCTTTAGAAATAGCATATCAAATGTGAATTATTAAAACAACACGATGTCTGTTAGCTATGAAAATGTAACCTCCCCTCTTCAAAGAAAATCAAGGAAAGACACTTCTGTGGATGACATAACCAGCAGGATTAGACAATCCTTTTCTGAAATGACAAGCACACAAAACATGGGCCTTCAGGTGAGGATAGTGAGTAAAACCACTTTCGTAAGCTGCTTACATATGTGTACACACGAAAGCACACCACCACTACCAGAACCCTTGTAATTGCTCCATACAGTGAAGTGAGGGAATGTAGTCCATAGTAACACCGATGTCTGCATTCACGTTTTTGGGTGAACATGAAGTCTTGTCTCTCTTGCAAGAAACATTATGTATGACAACAACAACTTGTGGATGAACCAGTCTTATGAGATGCTGTGCTATGGAATTAGGCAGTATTTTTAATTGAAATACTGTTTTAAAAGCACCATGTTTAGTGGTTTACATATTTTATTAAATATAGGATACAGAGAAAAATCACAAAAGATGAAAGTAGGTGGGAAATTATTTCTTTTCATTTCCCCCTGCTTCTTGCTGCCTTTATCTGGCCTCTTCCTGCTCCCCCCCGCTGCTACCACCCCCCACAAACAACAACAAATTCTGCTACTGCTGATGCGACTTCAGCTTCTATGTATTGTTCTTGTTTTTTAACAGTGTTTGAGGAGGTTTTTTTCTTCTTCCCTCTTGTTTTACTAAAAACACAAAAAGCAAGAATAATCAACTTTCCTTTTTATGAATATATAGTTGCAACATTTCAATTTTAGCATATAAGTAAAAGCAAACAAGATAACTATTTCTATTGCGTCCAGTGCTGACTCTTTTTTAAAAAAAAAATAGAGTGGGCTTGCTTTGCAACCTTTCATTTGCTCTGTCACTACAAAAAGCAGCCTCAATTTTAACACAGTGTCTGCATATTCTGCTTCTGGAAAAAGGGAGAGAGGTGTATTTGTTTATTAAATCTGCAGAATTATAACCACCCTCTCATCCTGCTTATTCTCAGTCTAATTAAACAAGGGTTAGATGCTAATTATTTGCTGCTAGTTGTCTAGCATTGTGTACACAGCATCCTCTTGTTTCAAAACTCATCTTACAAATTTTCTACTATCAGAAATATTTTGATGCTGAACTTCAAAGAGCAGAGTACACAGCAGAAAGCACATCAGTTGAACTTCAAAGAGAAATTCTAACTTTAAAGAGAGCTTCATGTCCAGCACACAGAAAAATAAAAACTGCCCAAGCTCTTCCCTTGCAAAGCTAGGGCATAATATAGTAGGGCAGAGGTTTTCAACCTTTTGGAGTCCACAGCTCCCTTGACAAACTATATTCTTTCTGCAGCACCCCTGTGGGGCGCAGGTGCCCAGTTATGTCACCCGTTGCCTGCAGAGCCAGCAGCCACTCACCCCCTTTTGAACATCCTCCCTTGTGGAGTGTTCCCTCAGCCTCCTCTCTGCTCCACTCTCCTTGGGAGTCCTTTGGGCAGCTGCAACTACTGCTCCTGGTGTCTGAGCTGCCCCCCCACCCCAAAGAGAAGTGCCTTTTCACACTGCCCCACAGGGGCCTGGGAAGCACCCCCTGATCAGCCCCAGAGCCACCATTTACCTGGGGAGCTTGCAGCCAGAGCTGCTGCAATAAACAGCTGTGCAAGGGAGGCAGAGACGTGAGAGGGCATCAGAGGAAGGTAGGGAAGGAATGAGGGACAGAGGCCAGTGTTGCCCACGGCACCCCTGACCATCATTCAAGGCACCCCAGGGTACCACGGGACACTGGTTGAAAACCACTGTAGTAGGGCATTTTGGAAGTGCAACAGCAGAGATGGTTCAGTTTGCAATTTAAGAGTTAATTCTGTTCTCAGTGTTAGTCAAGTACCCAAGAGGGTGTGTATGGAGATGCTGCTTAATAACCAGTCAGAGTGGCATCAACTTGACTGAGGTTGCATCTGTTTTGATTTGCTGTGTTCTTAGGGAGTTTTCCCATATATTTGGTTGAATGTCTTCCTGCTATGCACTGTTATTGTAAGGCCAAATAAGCATTTAATACTCTCAACACTCTTGACTAACAAGTAGTGAAGGACATGGGTTTTTCTCATTGCAGTTGTTTTCCGGAGGATTGCTTCATTTGTTACATTTGCCTGCATATTAGTTCCTATAATATTCAGAAATCATCTAAGTGTTGCCTCCCCGACCAGAAGCCAGCTTTTGTGTGGCTTCCAAATCTTATAAAAACATTTACATGTACTTGCATAATTTATGAAGTGCTGAGTCGAAAATAGTTTGAGGACTGCCACTGTTTTCGTTCCAGTTTTTCAAAATTGATTTCTTTGAAATACCAGATTCTACCTTTTCATAAAGTTGAGGAGGGAAAACTGCAGAAATTGGATGTACATGTATATCAGCTATGTTGCATGTTACCTCATGGTGCATGCAGAGAGTTGGGAAAGCATAAGTTCCTAACAGACATCTTCTGCACCTATTTCATCTGCCTTCATAGGACTAGGAGTCAGAACATCAAATGATGTTCCTTTTATTGTTTTTCAGTCAGTGCACCATCCTGAAAAAAGCTGGGTCCCTATCTCTTTCTCCCTAGGTACAGTTTTAGTGGCAGTCTGTGGCTGTTGGATGAGAGAAGCCATGCTTTTGTCTCTTCCAGTATTGGAATTTTGGATGTGCCCTTTGCACTGTAAGGCAGACACAAAATGTGGCTGGGTCATAGAACTGTAGAGTTGGAAGGGACCCAAGGATCATCTAGCCCAACCCCTTGCAATGCAGGACAATGCAGCTGTCTCATGAGGGGATCGAACCTGCAACCTTGGTGTTATCAACACCACACTCTAACTATCTGAGCTATCCAGGCTGACCACCACTGTACCATTTCTGTTTGTGTTACGTCACTAGATTATTTCCAGTAGTTGAACTATAGACAGCATGGAACTTTCACATTTGTCTGTAGTAAATAATGCTCCAATTATTCTACAGGGACACTGTACCGCAGCGCGTACATTGATGTGAGGTTGAATTTGTTTGCTTGCAACAAATATGTGATGACTAATTGGGATGCCAGGAGGCAAAAAGGGAGGAAAAAAACAACACAAAACTTGACACCTAAATGTCATACAGCTTTTACATTAGCAAATTGAGTCTCTGTTCTTTCCGACTGGAGCTTAAGATCCTGAGAAGATTTATAAATAAAGCCCTGACAGTGCTCTTGCTTCAACAAACAAGTATGTGTGGCAAACTGTTTTGTTTCATTTTTTTAATATAGGTAATTCAGAAAAGAACTGTGAGCAGGTGGGAGTGGGGAACCTATAAGAACTGTCAGTTCACACGTTTCTGAATGTGTGATGCTGTACAACCAGAACATGACTCAGTATTTAACATTTAATGTGTGACAGGCATATTGTTTAAAACTGAGGAAGAGATGCTGAGTAGGTTGCTGTTCTTTGTAGCACATCTTTTGCTGAGTATATTTTCCACTTATGTAAGCCAATACGCTGACACTACTGGCACTAATAGTGTTGACCTTTGGGGGAGGTGGAGGGCCTGCGTAATGCCAGGAACCCTTTGTATACTGCTCAATAGGGGTGGCTCAGTCTGTATGCAAAATGAGGTGGTGATCAAGATAGTGAAATTTTGTGACCTGTGTGCTCACCAGGGATGAAAGGTTACTTGCCCCAAACCACATCGTTCATACCATGTAGCAACCGTTCTAGGTAGCACAAGCCAAACCCTAGTAGGTTTTTATCCTCATTCAGATGGCACTAGCTATGTGAGCAAGTAAACCCTGGGTTTAAAAGCTTATGGGAACGGTACTGATTTCCTTTAACTTTGTACATATTTGCTTCTGTCTCTCTCTGCCCCGCTCCGATTTACATGGTTGTGTCTGATTTCTAGCATTTCCACTCATCCTTTCATGAACAACACCCCTACCCCCACCCTACCCCCTGCTCATTCATATCCTGAGAGATACTTTAAGATTCAACAGTTAGTTAGCTCCTGGAGTAAAATCCTATGGGTGCATATTACGGCTGCAACCGTTACCTGATTCATCAGTTAGCCCAGTCTTTCTCAAGTTGGTGCCTTCCAGCTGTTTAGACTACAACTCCCATCAGCCCTAGTCAGTACATCTGTGCTGGCTGACGCTAATGGGAGTTGTAGTCCTAAACATCTGAAGAATACCAGGTTGGGGAAGGCTGAATTAACATTTTAACTGATTCAGAAGTCCCAAATTAAGTAGGTAGAATATATATATATAATGGTTAATTGTAATGCAAGAACCTGGAGGAAGAGTGCACAGGTGGAGATATTCCATGGGGTTTTTTTGGTGTGTGTGAGAGAGATATTCTTCTAAAATGTTGCCTGCTATAACATGTGCTTGCATGCTTTTGAAAACAAGTCACCCGTGTTCAAATTCTCTGAGTAGCAAGAACCCAGGGGGGCAGCATGTATTCAGGTTCATTTTCCCTTGAATGAGTTTACTGGAGGCTTAACTGGTGGTTTCGTAATGGTTGTTGCATATTTACAAAATTATGGTTTGAGCATTTTGCTTGCTCAGTCCTGGAAACAAAACTAGTAAGCAAGCCAAGGCTCAGGGCAGTTAATCAGTGTTTCGTTGTCAAGCCAAAAAGCACACCTATGAGCAGAACCAAGATCCAGAATTTAGGCTGTAGCTCATGAGATTACTCCAGCAGCAGGAAATAAGGGCCATCACCTGTCAAAGGCAGATTCACAAGAAATGGGTAAACAAAGGGGAGGATGGTGCCAAGAGGCACCAAGGCAGATAGAATGGCCAGAACTTGGTGAAAGCAAGAAACTAGAAACAGGAGTGGGTAGCAACTGAAGAGTGGTGGGCATTTTAGTGGGAGACTCACAAAGGTTGCCTGGATAGAAAAACCTGAACAGACAACTTCCTACTGATTAACCTGCAGCATTTTTACTTGGAGCAACTGTCCTTGCCAGGATTGCTGCATGCTAACCAGTACTCAGTGGGTTGCCATAGTCAGCTTGCAGTGAGAAAAAGCTGCCTTTAAATCTCCCCCCCCCCCCGCCCGATAGCATAGCTCTCCTCTAATCTCAAGATGTCTAAGCTGTTATAGAACCTGAATCAGTTTGTTTGACTGGAAGGTCTGTCCCTTTACCACTCGCTTCTCCAGGGAAGCCCAAGGGCTGAGCAACTGTTATGTTGGAGATTTCTTCTTCAAGCCCTGGACCTCTGGCAACAATCCATAGATTCCACAGTGAAGAAGTGTGTATATTGTATTGTTGCTGCATCAGTATTCTGAAGAAGGGGCATGTTTTTAAACGAAGGCATTTCATGTTCTGTACAAGTTTGAAAATGAAGAATAACCACACTAAGATCTAAAGAGTCATAAATATTTTATTTTTGAAGATATGGGCCAACCCTAGCTGTTCCTTTCTCTTGTGCAGCAGTGTTCTTTGCAAGAACTGAGAATTCTGGAGTCCCTTCCTCATGCAAAGATACACAATTTGCTCTATATCATAGGCTGCTGCACAGCAGCCTGCATCCCTGCAGTCCTCTGTTTAGAGACCACTGGAGGCAAGTTGCAATTCGAGGAAAGGAAACTTCAGTTTGCAAGTCCGCTTGAGACTGAAGCACAGCTGATAACACAGTGCTCAGAACAGACATGCTGGGCCCTTAGCCATGTCAATTTTAATAGGCCCCATAGTATTACCTCCAAAATGTGTATGATTCTAATGGAAAGGACAGTGAAAAAGTAGTTTTATATTTGCATATATACATAGGTGAGGATGCAACTAAAAACCTAACTAAAACATATATCTTGCAATAAACCTATTTATTTTTTAACCAGTTATGTAAAACTTCAAATTTAGTGGTTGTTTTTTTTTTTTTAAAAAAGAGGACTGTCATAATCTGCGGCCTTAAGCTGTAGCTTACTTTGTTTGTGCATAAGTCCAGCACCAAACATATTTACTTCCAAAGTAATTTCATTACTATTTTTCTTCTTCTTCCAGACACTACCCAAAGCAGTCCTTTACTACAGTGGCAGACACACCCGAAAACCTTCGATTGAAACAACAAAGTGAATTGCAAAGTCAGGTAAGCTGTGAATTCTTTTGTCTATGTGGTGAACCTTGTTCTTAGCAATTGGGATCCATTATTCTAAAATAAAGGCGCAATGGTGTGAGCACCAAAGGTTAGTTCAAACAACACACATTGCTGTTTTTCCTCTCACACATGGAATTTTGATGTTCCAAGACAGACACATATTCGTGTGAGCAATAAAATTTGAATTTACTGGGGGGTGGGGGTGGAGCTCTATTCAATTATTTGTGATACCCTTTTTGTTGTTGTTTTGATAATGGAAACACTGTTTGACTACTTGGGGTAGGTCCAAGCTGAGGAGGGTCCTGCTCATAGCTGCCTATGAGTAATTAAGGTGCCATTTTACTTGCGCCAGTGGCAGGTGTTCCAGTTCCTGGGAAGAGTGGCCTTTCCACCTGAGGAGGGATGCTAGGACCTTACTTGGTTGAGGCAGTCATCTCTTGGGTGGAGCACCCTTTCCTGCTGCTGACCCTTGTTGGCCCCACTGATTGCACTCTTGGTGGGGTGTCATGGGAAGGAAGAGGGAGAAGCAGCTTCTCCAATGATCAGCAGGAGGTTGCCTGGTTGTGGGTCACCTGGTTGCCTTGCTGATGGTGATGCATGACAGAGCCTTCTCAGTGGTAGCTCCCTGTAGAATTTGGAGTATGGCGAAACATTAATATTTGGCTTTCTTGAAGTCCTACTAAACGATCAAACTGCTTTTGGCCTAATGAAGAGTGCTGCCCTGATCAGGAGAATCATGGTCTGCCTAAATCTGTGATCATTTAGTTCACATGCTACATTGTGAATGTGTGGCCAAAGTGGGCACTTGCTACACTTCATTAAAACAGCTTGCCTTGATAAAAGTTACTCATGCTCAAGAGTGCAAGTAACTTGCACCAAGTGAAGAGGGGAAGGCCTGTTCACTCTAATTCAGCCTTTCCCAACCTCAGGCCCTCCAGTTGTTTGGAAATACAATTCCCGTCAGTTGCAGCCAGCACAGCCATGGTAACTGTGGAGAACAACAGCTGGGCAAAGGTTGCCTTAATGGCAAAGTGTAAGGTTACCGTAACTTCCATTATAGAGCTTCAGTATGCTGATGACAACGTAGTGTGCGCATGCTCAGAGGATGACCTCCGAACCATCCTAAATATCTTTGCAGAAGCTTAGATAGGCCAAGAAAAGCTTGGCCTATCACTCAACATCCAAAAAGCCAAAGTGCTGAACCAACAAGTACAAAATAACCCTTCTGCAGTGCCACAAATCCAACTCAATGGTGTAACGTAGGAAAATGTCGATCACTTCTCCTACCTAGGCAGTTATCTTTACACAAGGGCCAACATTGATGCCGAAATCCAGCATCGCCTGAGCTCTGCGAGTGCGGCTTTCTCCCAATTGAAGTGCAGAGTGTTTGAGGACCGGGACATTCGCAGGGAAACCAAAATGCTTGTTTACAAAGCTATTGTACTATCAACCTTACTGTATGCTTGTGAAACATGGACCACTTATAAACGCCATCTCCAACTCCTCAAAAGATTCCATCAATGGTGTCTCTGAAAAAATCTACACATCACTTGGGAAGACAGGCAAACTAATATCAGTGTGCTGGCAGAAGCAAAGATCACCAGTGTTGAAGCAATGATTCTTCAACATCAACTTCGTTGGACTGGTCATGTTGTGCGGATGCTTGAAGATCGTCTTCCAAAGCAACTACTCTATTCCGAACTTAAAAATGGAAAGCATAATGCTGGTGGCCAACAAAAGAGGTTTAAAGACTGTCTCAAGGCAAATCTAAAAAAATGTAGTATAAACACTGACAACTGGGAAACATTGGCCTGTGAGAATTCCAGTTGGAGAACAGCCTTTACCAAAGGTGTCATGGGCTTTGAAGACACTCAAACTCAGGGAGGGAGAAACCTGCTAAGAGGAAGGCATGCTTGGCAAATCCACACCATGATCAACTCCTGCCTGGAAACCAATGTACCCACTGTGGAAGTACGTGTGGATCCAGAATTCACCTCCACAGTCACTTACGGACTCATTGTTAAAACCGTGTTTATGGAAGACAATCTTACACGGCTACGAGTGATCGCCAAAGAAGAAGTCTTAATGGCTCCCAACTGCTGCCTGCCTGCATATTTGTATGCATATACAAAAGAATGCACCAGTGAGATCGGGAGCAGAACTATGCTGAGCCCCCAGGAATCTGCATGTGCCTGCAGTGGACTAAATTGCACCACATGTATGCATCGAAGAATTCATATTCTCCTGACTTCATAAATAATAGCAAATGAAGTGTTTACTTGTTTATTCAATTATTTCACCTATAGCGTCAGTTACAGTTTAATTTTTAATGATTTGTTGTACTAGGCTCATAAATAATTTACTGCATTTTATGCATCATGCAGAAAGTGCTTCATTGCCTAACACAATCTAAATTTCACATCTGCATTACTCTTTGATCAAGTCCTGTAAATCTCAAAGTACAGCCTGAGTTGCTTATTCCTTTGACTAGGATGCAACTCCTCATTAATACTAGTTGCATCCTAGTGAAAGTTTTGTTTTGTTTTATAAGGAATTCGAGCAAAGCAGAGGAAAAGATGGCACACAGATGTTCGAGAACTTTCATATGTTCACTAAAGGCAGCGAAATAAGTTTATGTGCGGTAATCTATCTAAATCATCTTTTGTAGTGTTCCTTTTTTAGCCTTGCAGAGAATATTATCTTAATGAGGCACAGGATGGTATTCAGCTGAGTTTTACTCAGAGTAGGGAATAGTGGAAAATAAGAAACAATTAATAAGTTTGGTCAATTACAGATGATGAATTAGTGGTTGTTTAGTGGAGGAGTTTGAGGGGGGAACCCAGAGTGCTGTTTCAGTGTACATAGGACCAAGAGACATGGATGATGAGGGAACTGCTGCAGTGACCTACAATTCCTGTGCCATGTCGTCTTCCTGCCTGAGAACGTACAGAGTTATACCTGCAGCAAAACTGCTTCACTGAAGGTTTTTAAGCAGAGGGTGGATGTTCATCTGTCATGGATACTTCAGCTGAGATTCCGGCGTTGCAGGGGGTTGGACTAGACAACCCTCTGAGCCCCCTTCCAAATCTACAATTAATTTAAAAAATACCAGCATTTAATCTGCACTAGTGGTGTTGTCAATGTTAGTCAAAATATTCAGGTGTTATGTGCAATTTTAACTATATTTGAAAACGGTGAGGTATAAACCAAGGTGGTGTTACTGACAACAAAAAACGGTAGAGGTATGAAGTGCTACAAATATCTTAAGTGGCAGGAACAAAATGGCACAACTGAATCGAACATTGTCCTAGAAAATTATATGAAGGATGACTGCCCTTTCCCGACAATTCTCAGTGTGTGTAAGGGGGAGTGAGACTGTACTAGCCAGCCCCTGATATAGATGCACAACATTCCTTTGACCACACACCCATCATTCACACGTTCAGATGATTTTACAAAAGGGGCTCTTATGCGTGTGTAGCCCTATGCAATCAAGAACTCTATTCAGTTTGTCCAACCTGAGTTCAGTGAGGCTTATTTCCATGTAAGTGTGCAGTCCTAACATTTGTCAGGTTCAGTAGCTAGCTTTCTAATTAAATTCTTCTTGCCTGCTTGATGGAGGAAAGTTTGTCTTATCTTGGTTCAATAAGCGGTGTTCTCATAACACAGGAAGCTTCCTTATATTGAGTCTGACCATTGTTCCATCTAGTTCAGTGTTGTCTACACTGAAAGGCAGCAGCTATCCAGGATTTCAGACCAGGGTCTCTCCCATTTCTACCTGGAGATGCCAGGGATTAAACATGGCCCCTCTCCATTCAAGCGAATGCTCTATCACTGAGCTATGGCCCTCCTCTCTATTAAACAATTTTTGCCCCTCCACCCTCTCTGAAGGTTGTGTTTCTGTCAAACTTTTGCTTTGTTGTTTCTCATTTAGGTTCTGACTTCCTCTAGGCGTTTAAAATATTTAGTTACTAAAGAAGTCCATATTTTTATAACTTGAAATTCGGTATGATTTTCAAAAAAGCTGATTTTCAAAAAAAAAAAATTTAAGTCAGGACACCTGAATGTCATTAATATTAAATGACAAACATTGATTTCTGGTGAGACTTCCTAATTTTGTAGTGCTTAATTTGCCTGAAGCATGGCTCAAAACCACAAAGGAGCATGTCAGGTAAATATATTCTACGCTGCAGCGTGAAGCTTAATTGGAACTGATCGTGAAATGCTTGATTTGAAAAGCTATTGATTTTTTGTTCTGTCGTGTTTAGTTCGTTTTGAAATGATGAACATTTATTGCAGATGTTTAGCTCTAGTAGAGTTTTTAGTATCCTGACCAGCACTGTCTGAATACACAAACAACTTCCTGTATATTTTGAGAGGCTGAAGTAACTCGCTTTTAAAAAATCCGCCTACAAGATGCATAATTTGGTTTACCTGAACGTTTAAAACATGAAAATAAAACTAACTAAGCTTGATACAGGGAAAGTATGCAACTGCCTACTAGAGGGCAAATTTTAAAACTATCTCAGAAACAAAATGATTCTTCCCTATATTTTCAGGAAACCCCGTAACACTTCAAAACCAGTCCCTTTGCTGGGTAATTCAGATAGAAATAGGATTGGGGTTCCTTCCTTTCCGATGCTAATCAAATGTGGAAACAGAAGAATTGTGATTTATGCTTCCTGTATTCCATTCATGCATACCATTAATCTCAGCCCTTTATTATGCTTCAGATTAAAGCCATGTGTTGTGGAATAGAAGGCTGTGCTTCCACACAATGCAATGGAAGTGTATTTCAAGCTAATGTGCAATAGCCTATTCTAATTTATCCAATTCTGTAGAATATTCTGACATTAATCCACCTAGTTCAGACATAGCAGGGAACTCTGGCTTAATTCAAGCCAGGATATTTGACCTGAAGCTGCATGCAATGGGAGGAGGGAAGTGGTGAGGGAGGAGCATGTGGCCGTGGCTTGTGGCACTTGCCTGAAGCTGACGATGAATGCCCAAATGCGGCCAGTGCCACAGTGAGGTAAAGTGTTTCCTCTCTGTGCAAGGAGTATTTATTTAGGACATTTTTTTACCCTGTCTATCTTCAACCATGGAACTCATGGTGACATTCATGTGCTCCCCATTCCAGGCACTGATAAGACACAGAGCAGCTTAGCTTTATTCAAGACTCCCTTAAAAAATGTTCATTCTCTTCGTCTTTCACTTTTAGGCAATTTGAACTGAAGGTTTGCAGGTGGACAATGTCAGACACTGCCATTAGCTTGCTCAGGCTATTTTAGATGAAGACATATGTGCTGACCTCGCGTTTGAAGCGATATACTGCTATCTTTTCAGTTATCTGAATCAGACACGATGCTTGAGTGTTTCACGTGTGACAATAAGAATTGTTGCTTAGAAAGAACATTTGATGTAAACTTCGCTCTTCCTTGCTTTCTCGGTTGCATGAACACTATTCAGAAATCACAGTCCTTCATGCCTATAACACAAAGTTGTTAAATACCAAACTAGAGAGTGTTTTCTGCTTCAATCTCACAACTATAACAAAGGGCCATCTTCTATCTTGTCACTGGTCCCATGTTCCTACTTTCTTTTTTTTTTTTATGGCTGTATTTGCATTTTACATTTTAATTTTTTAAAAAATGGATTCATAGCAGTTTCAATGTCATTTGGTATTGGTATTCTTGACCAAGAGCAAACTGAGAGCAGATGGTTGACCGAGAGTGATGCCACCTGGTCTGTCACTAGTGCCAGATATGTTATCTCCTATCCATGGACGTTTGTGACGAGAGAGGGAGACCAGATAAAAGGCAAACTGTTTGTAAATAGGCTATCCAAAATAACACTGGAATGCAGGAGAAAGTATGAAAATCCTAGCTTGCCTATGCCCTATATTGTCATTCTGTTTCTTTCCTTCCAGGTATAGCTTATGGAAGTTTGTGTTCTTAATTCCTGAATCCTTAATGCACACCATTTCCCTTTCCTTTAATAAACTAGTGTGTGTGTATGCACGCACATGCGCTCCTAGGCAATGATGAAATGAAGATACATGCATACATACATTAGGTGTCTCTAGTAGTATAGTTCATTGAAACGCTTCTTTTTTTGAATAAAATGCTTTGTCCACCATTCCCCTTCATTTTATATTCAGCTGCATGAGCAGGGGTTACCTTTTTTGTTTCCCATAACAGAACAATATAACACAATACAAGGTTACAACTAAAAAGAAATCTTTATTTCTTTTTTTGCTCAAACTAAAGATGCTCAGTTTGCTCCACTTTGGCACTGTGGGCTGCCTTTGGCTGCAGTCCTAAGCGTACTCTCTAATGAGTAAATAAACATGCTTAGGGTTGCCCTGTCAATCTGATGAGCCAATGGCTGTGGTTTGAAGAAAACAGCCTGGCAAGCCAAATTGGACTCTCTGGCAGGCTAATATTGGCCCACAGGCTGGAGGTTCCCCAGCCTGCCTTAAGCCATAGTTAATATTAACCACCGTTCCAGATACATCACAATAAACCATGGTTAACTGACAACATAAATGAAAGCTTCCAGTGTCTTCCTTGTAGATGTGCAGTAGCAGGAGATGGGGAAGTTCAAGGCTTGTACGTGTAACACTAAATGACTGTATGGGTTCAAAGCCTTGAGTTATATAAACATCTTATATGCTTACCTTTTGGTATTTTGGAAATGGGCAAGGTAAAAAGAAGTGTTATTTTCTGTCTTCAAGATTCTTTATCCTGGCCTTTTCAGATATCAGGTTTTTTTATACACCACTCCAGATAGATTTCAGCTGCATCAACCTTTGTCATCATTACTTCTTTATTTTTGTTTGACCTTTTCAGAAATCATAGAAAAATGAGGCAATGCTGTACAACCATTAATTACTGTTGCTTCTCTATTTTAAAGAATTTGAACCTACCCTATCCTTTAACTGTCAAGCACTTAATTATTGAATGTTCACAGCCTCCCCATTCTTATCCAACAAAACCCTTGCAGATGGCCACAGAAACATTTGCAGGGAGATTTGCCCAGTTAACTACATGATACAGAACCTCCCACTTCTTGACCATTTGGTGGTGATGCATCATATTATCCTCTGTGATTATTGCAGCAGCTGTAGGTTTTTGTAAAAAAAAATTAAATAATCAGTTTACTTAGTGACTGTAGTGCATATATTTTGTTAAAAATATTTTGCATACAAGGGTGGAATTTAAATTCAAGAAAAATGTGCCCCCCCCCCCGAATATGTGGGGCTGATGCAAACAGTGTACCACAAGTGCAAAGCAAGAGCTGGAAACATGTTTCGAGCCAGGTGAAAACATTCCTCTTCTAGTCCTTTGGCTAATTAAACAATCTGTGTGTTTTTAAACTGTGTGTTTGTGTGGGGGGTGTTTGTTGTTTTGTTTGTTATTCTGTTATCTTTTTTCTGTTGACTGTAAACTTTTCTGTGATGAAAGGACCTTTATATACAACTGAAGGGCAGTATATAAATGTAATAAAACAATGTTATTTTTATTACATTTATATGTAATAAATGGCAAGAAAAGTGAACGGAGCCACAAGTTATGGGCAAACGTATTGCTTTTGATTATTCAGAAATGCTTAAGCCTTTTGTCTTTAACATAAACGGGCTTTATAGTAGGGAGGTGCCATTTTTTACAATATTGTTTTCTGTTGGTGTGAGATTTTCAGCTCACAGAACTCATTTAGAGGAGTTTTATCGGATTTGCAAGTATTGGGTTATACAAAACACATTTGCTTAAAATTTGCTTAAAATACTTCTCCAAACCATGGTTTAGCATGAAGTCATGGGTTCCTGGGGAGGAGATTGCAGCTGTTCTGCTCCTCCTTGGTTCTTTTATCTCATAGCTAAGAAGGAGGGAGCTTAACCATGAGCCTAGGTTAAACAGTATGTTAAGCCAAACCTTGGTTTAGCAGCTATACCACACTATATTGAGCTAAAAGGACTGGAGAGGGGCACAGCAGGTACAAGCACCTCTCTGGGAGCCAACGTGATCATACAGTCCAGGCAAGCCATAGTTTGGCTTACTGAGTCATGCCAACAACATGGGCGTAGCCAGTATTTTTTTTGGGGGGGGGCAGAACCTCAGTTTGCTATGTATTTTTATTGATTTGGGGGGGCAGTTGCCCCTCCCAAGGCCCCAACAAGGCCATAGTATTTACTTTTGCTTTCTTTTATGTTCTGAAATATTTCAACCATTTCTTGCATTGTCTAAGAGTTCCATCTGGCATGTGGCTAAACTGAACATGAAACCTGGTTTCTCTTGAAGCAGTTACATACAGTGGCATGTATCCCATGCCGTTCATCCTCTGAAACAATGATCACTAATGTATAAGAAAGTAAATTCCATTGATTTCAGTTAGATCCTTACATTGGACAGTGTATATCGAGATGCATGCTGTTGAATCAGACCAATATTGGTTGAAATCTTGCATAGTTTGGAGAACTGGAAGAAGTAAATACTGTGCTTTACCATAGTATCTAATAAATCATGAATGGCTTCAGCTAGAGACATTTAGATGAATTTTGTGGTATGCAGATGGCATTATGTGGCCATCTTTTATTTTGCCCTTCTTCGTGATCAACCAGCTCTGCGTGCTAAGAATGCCTGCGGTAAAACTGTTCCGTTGATTAAATGAAAGTAGGATGTGCTAAGGTGTTGGCAGCATTTTGTTCACCCAAAGCTTCATTTGGTGGCATAGTATATAGTGAAAATAACGTTTCTCTGTTTTCTGTTTGATAGGTCAAATACAAACGTGACTTTGAGGAAAGCAAAGGAAGAGGTTTCAGCATTGTAACTGACACACCGGAACTGCAAAGACTGAAAAGGACTCAGGAGCAAATTAGTAACGTATGTGGCCCATTGATAGTAGTTCAGAAACGTGATGCACAAGTGAAATGGCATGGTTGGATCCGATGGAATGTTTCCAGGTGTGAGTTTGTATGTATGTGGGGACTGGAATGGTTTTATGCTTTTGTGTTTGTTGTGCTTGAGTTCGAAGCTTTGTGTTGCTTGTGTAGCACGATGGTGGTGTGTGTTTCCCCTCTCCATACCAATTAAAGGTGGACTTACTGTTTACATTCATTCCTTTAGAGAAACAATTTCTTGCAAATAAGCACCTTTCTGCTTTCATGTAATGTGCAGGATAAAAACAATAAACCAAATTTCCAGGTAACTTCATCTTGCAGAATTACTTTACTTACAAATAATAATGGTTTTGCTTCTCTTTGCCATGTCTGTAACTCTTGGCTTAATATATAATGTGGGTCATGCTCAATCAGTGATGTGAGTTTTCTTCGAAAAAAATCCTGTGCAGATTAGGATAATCTGCACTGAAAATTTTCCAGAGTGCACTGGAATTTTTTCCCCCTGATGTCCTGGAGAGCAGAAGTGGACATAAGTGCTTCCTTGACCTCCTGGTAGGTAAGTCACTACTGCTTACCAGAAATGGGAGAGGCGAGGCAGCAGGGACATGGTGAAAATGCACAAGCCTGAGCTAATCTGGCACCCCGCCAGTGCGTTTGCACCACACCTCCTTCCTTTCCACCTTGTCCTTCCGTAAGTGCCCCCACCCAGCCATGCTATCTGCTATTGTTACAAAGTGTTCTGTAACAATGTTTGTTTTACTTGCATCTAGTATGCAAAACTCATAACTCTGAAACTGCCAATGGTGCCTTATAGCGCATTTGCAATGGACTTCAATATATTATTTCATCTAATTCTTATTTTAACTGCCTTTAGATATACCACACAGCCAAGTTGTATTGACTAAAACATGATTGAAATTGCCAAGAAAAAGGGTTGATTTTAAATAATTGTTTCCCAAATAAGCATGCATACCATTTGGTTATTGGGACAAATTAAAACACATCTCTTTTGACAGCAAATAGTCTTTATACTGCTCAGGACTATAAAACAAGACTTCTGGCCATGTACAGTGGTACCTCGCAAGACGAATGCCTCTCAAGACGAAAAACTCGCAAGACGAAAGAGTTTTTAGTTTTGTGAGTTGCTTCGCGAGACGAATTCCCCTATGGGCTTGCTTCGCAAGACGGAAACGTCTTGCAAGTTTGTTTCCTTTTTCTTAAAACCGTTACAGTAATACAGGGTGCATTGCTTGAAGAGGTGCAGTTGTGACTTGACTTCGGGGAGCAACTCATAGCACGCGGTGTGGTAGCCTTTCTGAGGTTTTTGAAGATTTTTTTGAAAAAATTGAAACCGTGCTTCGCAAGACGAAAAAACTCACAAGACGAAAAAACTCGCGGAACAAATTAATTTCGTCTTGCGAGGCACCACTGTAGTTCGCATGATTTTGCATTCCACAATTTGAATCTTGCTTTTGGGGATGTGTTGTTGTGAAGTTCTGAAGGTGTGGTGATATCGCCCCTTTAAGTCTGGTTTATGGGAATGGGTTAGATCCTCAGAAATAATGAGCTTACATGCAGCTGCCTCCCTTTAAGGCTTCAAGACCGGTGTCACAAGGTATTTAGGTGGAAGAGGTGAACGCCCATGGTCTAAGTTCCCATAAAACCTGGATTGGTGGGAGCTCTCTGTAGCTAACCAGGCAAGGTCAGCGTCTATTGGGGCTTTTGACAGCATCTTCTTCCATTGCTCAGCCTACTGAGATTTAAGTGTAAGCATTTATGTTAATTAGCTGAATGTTAGTTTTTTTTGTTTGTTTTTAACCTTCTGAGCTATTTTAATCTGTGTAAATATTTGGAGTTTTTCTCTCTTGTAGAATCTTGTTTTAGTAAAGTCTGTGAATGATTTTATGAAATTTGATCTGGTCTGAGTTCCTGAACCTTTAATTTTGACCATGCTTTTCGGAGCAAGGGTCATCCGCCACACAAGGTAAGGGTTATTATTATTATTATTTTAAATAACTAATTCTTACCCATACTGCATATAGCTTTCTGAAAGACTGGTTCTGCAAAAGGCATACTGGTATTGTAAGTACCTATTTTTAAATAACCTTTCCAGAATACTTTTTGAGAAGGGGAATCTGGACTCAGTAAATAAGCTAAGTGAATGGGGCTACATTCTGCGATAAAAATAATAAAATTTAAATTTTCATACATGAACATTTCCTATTTGTTGCTAGGATTGACTTACTACTTAAATGCTTCAGTAATATTGTGCTTGCTTCACTTTGTAAAATATTCTTGCATGATAGTGGAGGTCTTGGATCAGAAATAAATAAGGGTGAGAGAGGAGCTCATTCTGTAAGTTCAGACTATAACACTGAACCCAGAACAAATGCACACCTGCAGGTTAATTCTGTGCCCAGGACAGGTGTCTGGTAAGCCAGCTGGTGCGTGCTCTGATTATCTCCCGCTTGGATTACTGCAATGCGCTCCATGTAGGGCTACTACCTTTGAAGGTGACTTGGAAACTACAACTAATCCAGAATGCAGCAGCTAGACTAGTAACTGAGAGCAGCCAATGGGACCATATAACATCTGTCCTGAAAGACTGCATTGGCTCCCAGTACATTTCCAAGCACAATTAAAAATGTTGACCTTTAAAGCCCTAAACGGCCTCAGTCCTGTATACCTGAAGGAGCGTCTCCAATCCCATCATTCAGCCCAGACACTGAGGTCCAGCTCCAAGGGCCTTCTTGTTGGTTTCTGCTTTCCTTCACTGTGCAGCTTTGCTTGTCATGAGACAGGTATTTACATTCCACAGTCTGTACTGTTGGAGTTTCTCACGGGAAAGGGAGACTGGATGTGACGTACACTGGTTTCCTGTTTTTTCACTCTGTGATTCTCTCCAGGCTGTCGAGGAGAGAGGATGCATTTTCTGCTCTTGCAGAGGCAAGATGTCTTTCTGTAATATACCAGCTTTGAACTGTAAATAAAGCAATATAGAGTATGTAGCACGTATCGTCATCCTTCCGCTGGGCACGACAGACTCTGCTTTAAATCAACACGTGGTTATGGACTCCAGAGGTCGAATCGGAGTGCCGGCAAAGGATCGGAATGCAGAGGGACGGATCGGAAAGGAATCTGCTCTGCGCGTAGAAGTGATTGATGAGGTATGTGCTACTGCTCCGGGCAGCCTGCCAGCTTCAAGATTAATGGCTTTATGGCTGGACTTTGAACTTTTAAAGCCGGTTTTGCCGGGAATAGGCAAAAGGCTCCCAGGCACAAGTCACTATGCTGGGGAAATCGAAAGTAACTTTTAAGTGTGCCTTTGTAATGAGGCAGCTGCAGCAGTGACGCAGCAAGATTTAAAGCAGCATATTATGACGCTGAAGGCTAATGCCAGAGTCATGATGGCCCTTCAGGATGCTTGTGGGATTCCTAAGCTCAACAAGAAAAATTACAGCGACTGGGTTCAGTATGCAGAGGCAATTCTGCGGAAAGAGGGTTTGTTTGAGGTGATTACTGGAACCACACAATTTCCATTTACAGATGCATGGGAAGCTAAGGATTCCAAAGCAAGGGGAACTCTTACATTGATAGTATCCCCAGAAGAGCTCTGTCTATTGCGTGATAAGACCTCAGCCAGAGAAATTTGGGACGCTCTGAGAGAGGCTCACTTAAGGACAGAAGCTGGATCCACTATGTTTTATTTTAACAAGCTGCATAATATGGCTCTTGCTGAAGGTGGAGATGTGCGTTTACATCTGATGCAGATGCAAAATCTGAGACATGAGCTGCAACAGAGAGGACTCAACTTTCCAGAGGCTGTGTATTCTTTCATGATACTACAATCTTTGGGTTCAGGTTGGGAGTCTGTTGCAACCCAGATTGCTGTGCAACCAACTGCTCAGCTGACAGTGGACTTTGTTACTGCCGTGATTTTAAATGAAGCAGATCGCCGGGGTGCTAGCTGCATGGGCAAGAGGGAGTCTTCACAGACGTCATCCCATAGTGCAGTGGAACCACCAGATGGCGCCAAAGCTTTGAAGGCAGTCAAATGCTACTCGTGTGGACGTCTAGGCCATATGAAGAGGGAATGCAGACATCCCAGGGCCAAGACAGAGCAGCGCAGCGAAAGCTCATCACGCGGAAAAGGCCGAGGCAAGGCAAAGGTCCGGTGTCTAGGACAACGCAGCACAAGGCTATGGTTTCACGCTTCACTCCAAAGGTTGCAGAGGTCCAGAAGACGTCTAGATCTTTCTTCGTTGTTGATTCAGCGGCGACCCACCACATGTGCAACGATAAGAAACTGTTTGTGTCTTTTACACCGCAGGAAGGTGCGATTCACCAGGCGGATGACCGCACTATTCCCAGTAAAGGCTACGGAACTGTTGTTCTTCACAGTTTGGACTTATCGATACAGAATGTGCTTTACGTGCCAGACGCCAAACATAATCTGCTCAGCGTTGGACAGCTGAATGAGCGGAACATTGACGTTTCCTTCAAGAACAAGAAGTGCATCATCACAAAGAAAAATGATTATGTATTGCATGCAGAATATGTTGATCATTTGTTTGTTTTGTATTATGATGATGTGGTGCAGGATGACACTTGTTGCATTGCAGGTTCTAACAAAAGTTTACATGCAGAATGTATTCACGATTTTCATCGCAAATTTGGTCATTTGCATATTGAGGCAGTATCTAAAATGCCTGCCTTGGTTGAAGGTATGACTATTAAACCCTGCAGGTATCACATGAAGTGCAAAGCATGCGCAGCAAACAAAGTGAAAATGGCTGCGAAAGGTAAGGTGTCTAGTAGGAAAGCTACAGAACCATACCAGGTTGTTCATGCTGATTTGGTTGGACCACTAACGCCCTCTTTGGGTGGAAATAGGTACTTCATGGTTCTCATTGATGCATTTTCTAGATATATTTTTGTGTACAATCTCAAGCAGAAATCGGAGGCTTTTCCTAGGTTCAAGGAATTCTGTGCTTGGTTGGAAAATGTGCATGGTAAGAAGATAAAGACTCTTTTCAGTGATCGCGGGGAAATTCACTTCTCAGCAGTTTGAAGCTTTTCTGACTGAGAAAGGAATTCAACACGATTTGTCTAGTCCTCGCTCGCCATGGCAGAATGGACTTGCGGAACGGGCAAATCAGACATTGCTTCAAGGCTTAAAAACCTTGCTGCATGATGCCAATCTTCCAGAGAGTTATTGGGCCGAATCTCTCTCGTGTTTTGTTTACAGTTACAATCGCAGGTTAACTTCAGCGATTGGTTTTACCCCCTATGAGAAGATGTTTGGCAAGAAGCCATACATCAAACACATGAAGATTTTTGGTTCTGACATGTGGGTTCGCTCACCACAAAACTCCAAGTTAGACAAGCGTGGATTGCATGGTATCTTTCTAGGTTATCAGAAAGGGTCTTACAGAATAATGATGACTGACTCTAAGACAATTAAGCTCACGAGAAGTGTTGAGTACAATGCAAAGTGGGGGGAGAATGTGGGAATTTTCCAATGTTATCCTGATGACGGTGATGAGACTGAGGATAGTCAAAAGCAACCACAACAACCCACACCCACTGATGAAGGTTCTGAGTCTGAATCTGAAACTGAATCGGGTGATTCAGAGGATTTCAAGAGTGCGAAAGCCTCTATGCGACCCTCTGAAAGCTCTGATCAAGAATTGGAGGAACCATTGTTCACAATAGGTCGTTTTTCTCCTAAGAAGGAAGAGGAGAGTGTTGAAGACTTAAGGCTAATTCGTAGGTCACAGAGAGCCACAAAAAGCAAACCTCCAAAGAGATTTGCTGATGAGTTTGCTAAGATAGCAGTAACAGCTGTTAAAAGCTCCAAGAAGGTATTTGAACCTTCAAGTTTCCAAGAAATCCAGGGTTTGGATTCGAAGGAAGCTGAGCCATGGTTAAATGCCATGAAGGCTGAGCTTGATTCCTTAGAAAGGAACAAAACATGGGAGCTAGTTCCAGTAGTTCCAGGAATGAAACTGCTTGGAAGCAAATGGGTCTTCAAAGCGAAGACAGATCAAAATGGCAAGATAGTCAGACACAAAGCCAGATTGGTAGCCAGAGGTTTTGCACAGGTACCAGGTGAAGACTATCACGAGACCTGTTCACCCACAGTGAGATATGAAAGCATTAGGCTTATGCTTAAGCTAGCTGCAGAGGAAAATCTACACATTAGTCACCATGATATTAATACAGCTTTTCTGTACGGATCTCTAGATGAATCACTTTATATGCTTCCACCTGATGGCGTACAGATAAAACAGGGATTTGTTTGTGCTCTGAAGAAATCCCTTTATGGTCTCAAACAAAGTGCACGGTGTTGGCACACAAAACTCACTGAAGTATTGTTTTCTCTAGGTTTTCAGCAAGGGAAAGCTGATCCATGTGTATTTGTCAAGAGGAGGGGCAAAAGAAACTGTACTGTTTGTTTTATGTTGATGATTTATTATTCTTTTGGAAAGATGTCGCAATGTACAATAGCGCCCTAGCTCAACTGAAAGAGCACTTTGACATGAAAGATCTTGGTGAGGTAAACAACTACCTATCTCTGGAAATAGAGAGAGATCAAGATGGTAACATTCTAGTACACCAGTCACGGAAAATTGCTGATGTGTTAAGCAAACTAAATCTGATGGATGCTAACCCTGTAGACACACCGATGACAACAGGTTATCAGGTAGATGACACTGAAAAAGCATTTTCTGACACTTACACTGTACAGGAGTGTGCTAGGCAAGCTAAACTTCATTGCCAGATGTTCAAGACCAGACATTGCTGTTAGCTGTAATTTGCTAAGCAGACAAGTCAACAATCCTAGTGTCAAGGATTGGAAAGCTCTGAAACGCATAGCGCGGTATTTGAAAGGCACTATGCATTACAGACTGAGATTTAACAATCAGAAGTCTGGTGGTCTTGAGATATTTGCAGATGCAAGTTTTGGAAGTGACGCTACAGACAGGAAAAGTACGTCTGGAGTTTGCTACATGTACAATCAGAGTCTGTTTGATTGGTCATGCAAGAAGCAAACAACAGTTAGCTTAAGTACTTGTGAAGCTGAACTGAATGCACTGTCTTATTCACTTAAGGATTGTGAATGGTTAGTACAATTGTGCAAAGATATGAAAATTCCTGTCAAATGTCCAATCCAGGTTTACCAGGACAACAAAGCATGTTTGGCTTTGCTGAAGTCTGAAGGTTGTAAGCAAAGCACAAAGCACTTGCAATTAAAGTTGCAGCATGCTAGGGAATGTATTCAGAAGGGACTCGTAACGGTGTCCTATATGCCAGGTAATGAAATTCCTGCTGATGTATTGTCCAAGATTGTATCAAGGGATCAACACTGTACCTATGTGCAGAAGTTGGGTTTGTACTGATATTGTACGAAACACGCTGCCCAGTGATGTTCACAGAAAGGGGAGGATGTTGGTTTCTGCTTTCCTTCACTGTGCAGCTTTGCTTGTCATGAGACAGGTATTTACATTCCACAGTCTGTACTGTTGGAGTTTCTCACGGGAAAGGGAGACTGGATGTGACGTACACTGGTTTCCTGTTTTTCACTGTGTGATTCTCTCCAGGCTGTCGAGGAGAGAGGATGCATTTTCTGCTCTTGCAGAGGCAAGATGTCTTTCTGTAATATACCAGCTTTGAACTGTAAATAAAGCAATATAGAGTATGTAGCACGTATCGTCATCCTTCCGCTGGGCACGACAGACTCTGCTTTAAATCAACACTTCTGGC